TTCCTGTAGCACCATCCAGGCTGTGGTCTGCCCCTGCCAGTCTTCCTGTAACACTATCCAGACTGTGGTCTACCCCTGCTAGTCTTCCTGTAGCGCCATCCAGGCTGTGGTCTGCCCCTGCCAGTCTTCCTGTAACACTATCCAGGCAGTGGTCTACCCCTGCTAGTCTTCCTGTAGCACCATCCAGGCTGTGGTCTGCCCCTGCCAGTCTTCCTTTAACACTATCCAGGCTGTGGTCTACCCCTGCTAGTCTTCCTGTAGCACCATCCAGGCTGTGGTCTGCCCCTGCCAGTCTTCCTGTAACACTATCCAGGCTGTGGTCTACCCCTGCTAGTCTTCCTGTAGCACCATCCAGGCTGTGGTCTGCCCCTGCCAGTCTTCCTGTAACACTATCCAGGCTGTGGTCTACCCCTGCTAGTCTTCCTGTAGCACTATCCAGGCTGTGGTCTGCCCCTGCTAGTCTTCCAGTAACACTATCCAGGCTGTGGTCTACCCCTGCTAGTCTTCCTGTAGCACCATCCAGGCTGTGGTCTGCCCCTGCCAGTCTTCCTGTAACACTATCCAGGCTGTGGTCTACCCCTGCTAGTCTTCCTGTAGCACTATCCAGGCTGTGGTCTGCCCCTGCTAGTCTTCCTGTAACACTATCCAGGCTGTGGTCTACCCCTGCTAGTCTTCCTGTAGCACTATCCAGGCTGTGGTCTACCCCTGCTAGTCTTCCTGTAACACTATCCAGGCTGTGGTCTACCCCTGCTAGTCTTCCTGTAGCACTATCCAGGCTGTGGTCTACCCCTGCTAGTCTTCCTGTAGCACCATCCAGGCTGTGGTCTGCCCCTGCTAGTCTTCCTGTAGCACTATCCAGGCTGTGGTCTACCCTGCTAGTCTTCCTGTAGCACCATCCAGGCTGTGGTCTGCCCCTGCTAGTCTTCCTGTCGCACTATCCAGGCTGTGGTCTACCCCTGCTAGTCTTCCTGTAGCACCATCCAGGCTGTGGTCTACCCCTGCTAGTCTTCCTGTAGCACTATCCAGGCTGTGGTCTGCCCCTGCTAGTCTTCCTGTAGCACCATCCAGGCTGTGGTCTACCCCTGCTAGTCTTCCTGTAGCACCATCCAGGCTGTGGTCTGCCCCTGCTTGTCTTCCTGTAGCACCATCCAGGCTGTGGTCTGCCCCTGCTAGTCTTCCTGTAACACCATCCAGGCTGTGGTCTGCCCCTGCTAGTCTTCCTGTAGCACCATCCAGGCTGTGGTCTGCCCCTGCTAGTCTTCCTGTAACACCATCCAGGCTGTGGTCTGCCCCTGCTAGTCTTCCTGTAGCACCATCCAGGCTGTGGTCTGCCCCTGCTAGTCTTCCTGTAGCACCATCCAGGCTGTGGTCTGCCCCTGCTAGTCTTCCTGTAGCACCATCCAGGCTGTGGTCTGCCCCTGCTAGTCTTCCTGTAACACCATCCAGGCTGTGGTCTGCCCCTGCTAGTGTTCCTGTAGCACCATCCAGGCTGTGGTCTGCCCCTGCTAGTCTTCCTGTAGCACCATCCAGGCTGTGGTCTGCCCCTGCTAGTCTTCCTGTAGCACCATCCAGGCTGTGGTCTGCCCCTGCTAGTCTTCCTGTAGCACCATCCAGGCTGTGGTCTGCCCTTGCTAGTCTTCCTGTAGCACCATCCAGGCTATGGTCCGCCCCTACTAGTCTTCCTGTAACACCATCCAGGCTGTGGTCTGCCCCTGCTAGTCTTCCTGTAACACCATCCAAGCTGTGATCTATCCCTGCCAGACTTCCTGTAGCACCATCCAGGCTGTGGTCTACCCCTGCCAGTCTTCCTGTAGCACCATCCAGGCTGTGGTCTGCCCCTGCTAGTCTTCCTGTAACACCATCCAAGCTGTGGTCTACCCCTGCCAGTCTCCATGTAGCATCATCCAGGCTATGGTCTACCCCTGTCAATCTTCCTGTAGCACCATCCAGGCTGTGGTGTACCCCTGCTAGTCTTCCTGTAGCACCATCCAGGCTGTGGTCTATCCCTGCCAGTCTTCCTGTAGCACCATCCAAGCTGTGGTCTACCCCTGCTAGTCTTCCTGTAGCACCATCCAGGCTGTGGTCTACCCCTGCCAGTCTTCCTGTAGCACCATCCAAGCTGTGGTCTACCCCTGCTAGTCCTCCTGTAGCACCATCCAGGCTGTGGTCTACCCCTGCCAGTCTTCCTGTAGCATCATCCAGGCTGTGGTCTACCCCTGCCAGTCTTCCTGTAGCATCATCCAGGCTGTGGTCTACCCCTGCTAGTCTTCCTGTAGCACCATCCAGGCTATGGTCTACCCCTGTTAGTCTTCCTGTAGCACCATCCAGGCTGTGGTCTACCCCTGCTAGTCTTCCTGTAGCACCATCCAGGCTGTGGTCTACCCCTGCTACTCTTCCTGTAGCACCATCCAGGCTGTGGTCTACCCCTACCAGTCTTCCTGTAGCACCATCCAGGCTGTGGTCTACCCCTGCCAGTCTTCCTGTAGCACCATCCAGGCTGTAGTCTGCCCCTGCCAGTTTTCTTGTAGCACCATCCAGGCTGTGGTCTACCCCTGCCAGTCTTCCTGTAGCACCATCCAGGCTGTGGTCTACCCCTGTCAGTCTTCCTGTAGCACTATCCAGGCTGTGGTCTACCCCTGCCAGTCTTCCTGTAGCACTATCCAGGCTGTGGTCTACCCCTGTCAGTCTTCCTGTAGCACTATCCAGGCTGTGGTCTACCCCTGCCAGTCTTCCTGTAGCACTACCCAGGCTGTGGTCTACCCCTGCCAGTCTTCCTGTAGCACTATCCAGGCTGTGGTCTACCCCTGCCAGTCTTCCTGTAGCACTATCCAGGCTGTGGTCTACCCCTGTCAGTCTTCCTGTAGCACTATCCAGGCTGTGGTCTACCCCTGTCAGTCTTCCTGTAGCACTATCCAGGCTGTGGTCTACCCCTGCCAGTCTTCCTGTAGCACTATCCAGGCTGTGGTCTACCCCTGCTAGTCTTCCTGTAGCACTATCCAGGCTGTGGTCTACCCCTGTCAGTCTTCCTGTAGCACTATCCAGGCTGTGGTCTACCCCTGCCAGTCTTCCTGTAGCACTATCCAGGCTGTGGTCTACCCCTGTCAGTCTTCCTGTAGCACTATCCAGGCTGTGGTCTACCCCTGTCAGTCTTCCTGTAGCACTATCCAGGCTGTGGTCTACCCCTGCCAGTCTTCCTGTAGCACTACCCAGGCTGTGGTCTACCCCTGCCAGTCTTCCTGTAGCACTATCCAGGCTGTGGTCTACCCTGCCAGTCTTCCTGTAGCACTATCCAGGCTGTGGTCTACCCCTGCCAGTCTTCCTGTAGCACTATCCAGGCTGTGGTCTACCCCTGTCAGTCTTCCTGTAGCACTATCCAGGCTGTGGTCTACCCCTGTCAGTCTTCCTGTAGCACTATCCAGGCTGTGGTCTACCCTGTCAGTCTTCCTGTAGCACTATCCAGGCTGTGGTCTACCCCTGTCAGTCTTCCTGTAGCACTATCCAGGCTGTGGTCTACCCCTGCCAGTCTTCCTGTAGCACTATCCAGGCTGTGGTCTACCCCTGCCAGTCTTCCTGTAGCACTATCCAGGCTGTGGTCTACCCCTGCCAGTCTTCCTGTAGCACTATCCAGGCTGTGGTCTACCCCTGCCAGTCTTCCTGTAGCACTATCCAGGCTGTGGTCTACCCCTGTCAGTCTTCCTGTAGCACTATCCAGGCTGTGGTCTACCCCTGTCAGTCTTCCTGTAGCACTATCCAGGCTGTGGTCTACCCCTGCCAGTCTTCCTGTAGCACTATCCAGGCTGTGGTCTACCCCTGTCAGTCTTCCTGTAGCACTATCCAGGCTGTGGTCTACACTCATCAACAATACACTGGTATAATTAACCTTGCCAGACGTATCACGGTCGTTTTTTTTTATAATAAACACCTCATTTGCGGTTAAATAAGTTTTTATATGTCAATGTAGCCTAACCTAACCTAGTCTATCCCAATGTAAACTACATGAAAGTAGAATCTGGAGGTTTACAAGAAGCGTTAAGAACTTAACGTTGGGAACTTCGTAAGATAATGCGGATAGTTAAATGAGATCAATATAACATTAATTATATTTGTGGAAAACACTGTATATATTTTCCAGAAATTCAGTATTTATATGTAAATAGATGGCTATACTGTATTTAATAATATTTATGTCATAGAAAACGGAAAGCCTGCGTCTGTGCAGACTGGACTCGCCATCTTGGTTTTGAATTGGATACAACATTAATATAATGGGAAGAATTTTTCGTGCTCTAGAGGTTAAAATTGGAATGACACCTCTCAAATAGGAGGCGAAATTGTTGGATGTGCATTCCTGCATAACTTGAGATATCAGGCGCCTGGACAAGACAACTCCAGGAACCTCAGATAAGCTCTCTAGATTTGTGTATAATTCTGGCCAGCATTATTTTCATAAATTTAGAAGTGAGGTTTTTCTGAGTATGATACAACTTAATATCCAGTCAAATTGGTGAGTAATATTAAGATATATTTTCCTTCTGTTATGTATATGTGTATTTATATGTAATAATTTTTTAATTTAATATACAGTCCACAAATTTATATATTTACCAGAATTCCTGGTGATGTATAATTCATTTAATTAATAGGTCCAGAGCAACTTGTGGATATGACAGTGGTAGGTATCGAAGGGGGACATTTTTGCGACCTAGGTGTCCCAAATTCCTACTTGTCTAACTAATAAATAATAATTATCTATGCTCATTTATTGTTATGTACATAATTATACATACAGATAAATGCAATTTTCCACAATGTTATTCAAATACCTTTCTTAGCTTAAATTTTAAATAGGTCAGAAGATGCCTAAAACTAATATAAAACGTCGAAAATTGCAATACAAAAGTTTCCATATTTTAAATTATTTTTAAATATATAATATCAATGATGGGTGCAAAGGCAAGTTGCGCATGCGCTAAATGTGCATGGGGGAGGGAGGGTCATGGGTTACACTGGGTGAACATATACTGCTGGAGAGAGTCAACACAAGTAGGAGGGGTCACTTCCCGTGCCGGTCTATCTCTGCCACTTACCACATTCATAACTACGTTTCCTGTCTGCCATACTACATGGCAGTCTGAGAAGTAATTCCTCGTACATACCTCCCTGCTTGAAGCGGACCTCCCTTATCTCACATCGTCCCTTCAGCATGACTGCCAGGAGGGCTAACAGCAGAATTTTCACCAGGAGGATCCTCTCTGTGAGTAACTTTGTCTATCAATACTCGTAGGGTCAAGGTTTTCTTGTACCTAAGTCTGCTGGGACAGTCTTGTAGGTTTTCTTGTACCTAAGTCTGCTGGGACAGTCATGTAGGTTTTCTTGTATCCAAGTCTGCTGGGACAGTCTTGTAGGTTTTCTTGTACATAAGTCTGCTGGGACAGTCTTGTAGGTTTTCTTGTACATAAGTCTGCTGGGACAGTCTTGTAGGTTTTCTTGTATCCAAGTCTGCTGGGACAGTCTTGTAGGTTTTCTTGTACATAAGTCTGCTGGGACAGTCTTGTAGGTTTTCTTGTATCCAAGTCTGCTGGGACAGTCTTGTAGGTTTTCTTGTACCTAAGTCTGCTGGGACAGTCTTGTAGGTTTTCTTGTACATAAGTCTGCTGGGACAGTCTTGTAGGTTTTCTTGTACATAAGTCTGCTGGGACAGTCTTGTAGGTTTTCTTGTACCTAAGTCTGCTGGGACAGTCTTGTAGGTTTTCTTGTACCTAAGTCTGCTGGGACAGTCTTGTAGGTTTTCTTGTACATAAGTCTGCTGGGACAGTCTTGTAGGTTTTCTTGTACATAAGTCTGCTGGGACAGTCTTGTAGGTTTTCTTGTATCCAAGTCTGCTGGGACAGTGTTGTAGGTTTTCTTGTACATAAGTCTGCTGGGACAGTCTTGTAGGTTTTCTTGTACCTACGTCTGCTGGGACAGTCTTGTAGGTTTTCTTGTACCTAAGTCTGCTGGGACAGTCTTGTAGGTTTTCTTGTACCTAAGTCTGCTGGGACAGTCTTGTAGGCTTTCCAGCAGTCAAAAAAATGTCACTTGTTCACTCCTTTGGAAAATTACATTTATCTGAATGTAACTCATTATGTACATAACAGTAAATGATAACAAAGATAATTATTATTTATCAGTTACATAGACAAGTAGGAATTTGGGACACCTAGGTCGCAAAAAATGTCCCCCTTCGATACCTACCACTGTCATATCCACAAGTTGCTCTAGACCTATTAATTACAAATGAGAGATACATCACCAGGAATTCTGGTAAATATAAATTTGTGGACTGTACATTAAATTAATAAAGGATTATATATATACACATTTACATAACAGAAGGAGAATATCTTAAAATCACTCACCAATTTGACTGGAGATCAAGGTGTATCATACTCAGAAAACCTCACTGTTTACCTGGAGAGAGTTTACCTGGAGAGAGTTTCGGGGGTCAATGCCCCCGCGGCCCGGTCTGTGACCAGGCCTCCTGGTGGATCAGCGCCTGATCAACCAGGCTGTTGCTGCTGGCTGCACGCAAACCAACGTACGAGCCACAGCCCGGCTGATCAGGAACTGACTTTAGGTGACTTTAGGTCTGTACATGAAAATAACACTGGCCAGAGTTACAAACATACAAACTTATCTGAGGTTCCTGGAGCTGTCTTGTCCAGTCGTCTGATATCTTAAGTTATGCAGGAATGCACATCCAACAATTTCGCCTCCTATTTGAGAGGTGTCAGCCCAATTTTAACCTCTAGAGCACTAAAAATTCTTCCCATTATTCACTAACGTTTGTGTTGACTTGTTCAAACATGGCGAGTCCCTTCTGCGCAGGCACAGGCTTCCCATTTTTTATGACAAATTTTTATTAAATACAGTATGGCCATCTATTTACATATAACTACTGTATTTCTGGAAAATATATACAGTATTTTCCACAACTCCTTTCTAATTTGTTTTCTCTGTATCCGTCAGTTTCACATAGAGTTAATTAAGTTCGTGAGGCTGTATTTGCTGTATCTAAATCGATGTTGGCATTCTTTAAAGACTTCTCTTTAAGTGTTCAAATAATTCTTTGATATAATTTATGTGACATATATTTTCAATTACCTCAGGATGTGTCAATGATAGGGATACTGAATGATAACTTTGAGCACACTTTGTCTTGAAGTGGTATAACGTTGGCAGTTTTCCAGTTGGCCTTAGTTCCCTCGTCTCAGTTGATTTGAATATTCTCGCTAGTGTTTCACACAGGTCTTTAGCTCTTATCGGTACCCATGCTGGCTTCCTCTTGTGCCCCAGGAGCTTGTGTCTTGACTAATTTTCTTAGGTATAACTAATTTTTGTTATGTACCGTTTGGTTTGAAATACTTTTCTCGCTCAGCTATTATTATCATTATTATTATAATCAAAAGGAAGCGCTAAACCTACTGGGGTCACTTCAGCTACTAGTATATTCCAACTTTTAGTCACCTCTTGGAGTTCTGTAAAGTTCTTACCACCTGCGCTTTCACTCTTGTTTTTAAAATTATATCTCTCTCTTTCTTTTCTTTAGCCTCTTTCTGGCGTTCATACATAGTTCTCCATTTTATTCTGCACGTTATGCATATTTCCCATGCTCTTTTTTACTCTATTATTGGTTGAACCATGAGCCCTAGTGTTTGTATTTTTTTTTTTTTTTTGCGGCAATCTATTTAGTATGCTGCTCCATTGGATCCCAGAGAAGAAAGCTTTTGTCTCTTCACATTTTCCTCTTCTGTATTCTGGTCATCTTCCCCTCCTCTCTGGTCAGGAGTCCCAACACTACTAAGTATTCGAACATCATCACAGTATGGTTTCTGGCTCTTTCAGAGGGACATTGTAGCTGATCCCTTCTGCGTCTAAGTTGGCTCATCTGTCATTTGCTTTCATAGACTATTTGACGTGTTGGATGAAGACCTTGTTTAAGCTGATGCCACTACCTTTGCCATTCATGTTTCTAATACCCAATATGGTTCACATTTCTCCCAGTAAATTTTCATGTGGCTGGTCACCCAGAATCATGAGTTTTACAGTCGACTTGCTGATGCTCTGTTACCTTCTAAAATATTTAGGATACTCTTGATATCTGAGGCTTCTGTAGTTGAGTGGTGGGTTAATATGAGCCCAGTTGGTAGTGTTGCTGTAATATAAGCTGAAGTTATCATAATTGAGGATTCAGTACCAAATATTAATTATCTTATAACCTCTGTTCTTCCTTTCTGTCCTTAGTATAATGTATCTATTTAGGAAGATGACATCTAATAATATCTAAGTTGGCCTGGTGGCAAAAGCCCTCGCTTCACACGGTGCTCTCCGGGTTCGATTCCCGGCGAGGGTTGAAACATTGGGCGTGTTTCCTTACACCGATTGTCTGTGTTTACCCCTCAGGAAAAAAAATGGATACCTGGGTGTTAGTCGACGGGTGTGGGTCGCATCCTGGGACAAAATTGACCTAATTTACCTGAAATGCTTTGCATAGCAAGCGGCTTTCTATACTGTAGTATGTCATTGATGTGAGCTAGGCTTGTATACCATGTACATGTACTTGTAGAAATAAAGATATTATTATTATTAAGTTTGCATGCAAATATTACTTTCTACTTCCATTTTTTCATAGTAAGAAGAGGGTAAGAAATGTTTCATTTTCTAGTTAATGGTGATGCTGCTGGCAACAGCTTCAAGATCATCAGCAGGAGCAGCAGATTTGTTGTCTGACCCGGTCATCAAGTATGGTAGTCATCAGAAAGTTTGGCGCTACGGCAGACATCAGGCACCTGGGCATTATAGTGGGCACCAAGGCAGGTACCAAGCACCAGGTCATGACGCGAGCACTGGTGTGGGCAGGAGGCGGTGCCCACGACAAGTCTCATGTGGGCCGCCCAGCAACTACCACAACCCTTGTTGCTTAGCACCTCCATGGCCCGTCCCTCCACTCCCTCCCCTCCCACCATACCCTCCTATCCAACCTCTGCCTACATGGCCACCCACTCATCACCCCTACCCATCCACTCCACCACATACTTGGATTCCAACGCACCCGCCCACACAACCAACGCACCCGCCCACACAACCAACGCACCCGCCCACACAACCAACGCACCCGCCCACACGGCCACCAACGTACCCACCTACCTATCCACCAACCACTCCACCCACATACCCACCTACGATACCATCCGTCACACCTGTATATGATCTTCCTCCTTGGTAAGTTATATTTTATTATATATATATATATATATATATATATATATATATATATATATATATATATATATATATATATATATATATAATATATATATATATATATATATATATATATAACTGTAAACAGCGAGACTTGGCACAAATGTGACGTCTGGTGTGGCACAAGTGTGACGTCTGGTGTGGCACAGGTGTGACAAGTGAGGCATCCGGTGTGACGTCTGGTGTGACACAAGTGTGACGTTTGGTGTGACTAAGTGTGACGTCTGGTGTGGCACAAGTGTGACGTCTGGTGTGACAAGTGAGACATCTGGTGCACATATCCTCTAACACTGGAGGTATGTTGGACGATGGACACTTACACATCACTTAACTTGGACTATCGTAGTTTATTGCTGCACAATTTACTATATAAAACCAATGTAAAAGATTAAAATTATGGATGAGACCTAAATATAAAGTAACTTACTACAGGTGTGGCATGTACGGTCAGTGTGGATGTCCATTGGTTACTCGCCCTCCAGTCTGTCCCTACATGACTGCACCAGGTAGCAAGCGACTCAAACGTCATGCACAGGTAGGTATTTCATTGGTACAGTGAACTTGGTAACTAGATCAATGCAAGTCAGGCTTCACCTCGCCGTGGCGGCGGTTGACATTGTTTATCCTAGTTCAAGACGTCATGGGGCATGATGCAGTGATACTGACCTATTTTGTAGTTATTCTGAAATTGTCACGATAAATAACTATCAATATAATATAGTTAGTTATACAACATTGGAAGTGGATAATTTATATGTGAAAGTGTCAACCACCACAGAGCTTCTCTCTTACACATTAACTAAATCACTGTAAATAATAAAATAATACAGCTCCTAATAAATAGAGAACTAGCACACACATATGTGCACTATAATATTTCTGTGCTTGCTATTATACTATTTCTGTCTTTGCTAAGATATTTCTGTGTTTGTAACTATAATAATAATGTTGAATAATGAGCTGTGTTGATAAGCCTCGTGTAATTCAGAGATCGTGCAAGCTAGACGGTCAGTGTCCATCAGGTTCCTCGTGCTGTACCCATGCTTGTCACAACACCAAGATCTGTACGCCCGTCTCATCCACGTCCACACCCATTCCACGCCCACGCAAGGTAAGTCACCCACACGGACTTCTTGCTTGTACAGAATCGTTTTGAATCGGTCTTTATTTACTACTTCCCTAACATGAATCTTTTTTCCAACAATGTTTCTTTAAATGTTTGGCTCTCCCAGTAAATTGATGTGTGCCTCTCCCAGTACATTGATGTTTGCCTCTCCCAGTACATTGATGTTTTCCTCTCCTAGTACATTGTCTAATATCCTACTCACCAAAAACTAAATACTTAGTACTTAACCTTACCAACAAAGCTACTAACTCACTCTCCACCGCCATAAATTATTGCTGACTGTGTTACTCCCCGAGCCTCAGAACCCCAGACGTAAATGCTCAGAGTACAATAAATTCTCATATTTTAAGGCAAATATTTTAATGCAAATGTTGAATAACATATATTTGACATAAGTATAACCTATTGTATAATTAGTGCAACCTGATCAAACTATGTTTTTTACATCTAGTGTTAAGTAATCAGTAATCTGCTAAATTTAGACTGCCCGTAATGCCGAGGCATGATAGTGGCTCTTTGCGCTACAAATCATTGTAAACCCTCACTGTAAACTACCTATGTATATATACTTCATACAATATGTTATCCACATTGTAAACTTGCAAGGAAATAAAAATCTAAATCTAAATGTTTAGAACACGAATGACTAACCAGTCTTGATCTTCTCCTTGCCATACACCTCAACTTTGACTTATGTCTTTCTCATCTTTCCTTGCTCACTCACCTAATATCTATTTGCAACCTATGAGTTAGTTGTGACCTGTTGCAGCCCCTGTATCGTGACTTACTCTTTGCCTGTACCACACGGGAAAACACAGTAGTTGTTTCACTTGACAAGGGGAATCTCTTACACAAGCAAGACAACATTGAAACACTCCTCTATGCAGTATTGCATAAAGTGGAACATTATTTTACACAACAGGCATCAGAAGTTCGTCCTGCTGGTATGTAAGCAATCATCAAATGTACCAAGTTTGTCACAAGGAACTATAAAGAATTTGCTGACATTTTCAACAGGTATGGTGTTCTATATATTTACGAGAATGTTAAATTATCTTTACACTTGCAAAATACAAAAAAGGGCGTAGTAGACGTGACAGATGAGTGTGATTGTGGTGTAGATAATATGTGAAGAAAAGACTCGTTGCAGTACAAGCTTTTATTGGAACAACTCATTACTCTCTGTGTTGAACTTTATCATGACTTAATGAAACTACACAGAGCTAAACGTTGTTCCAATAAAAACTTATTCTACATCGTCTGTTTTTGTCTTTACTATTGTCCTCAGTACGCTATTTAGATCCAGATAAGAAGACGATGTGTCTTGCAGGTGAAGGTGAGTGTTATCATGACCTCTGGATGCAGCGATTCACACACCTTCTTCAAGAAGTACCTCGTACCCTTCACTTCAGCACTCGAGGACCATCTCGAGCTCGACCTCATACCTTACGGTAAAGTGAACCAGGTGAGTGAAGTGGCTCCCTTTCCCGCCTTTTCGTTTACATCTGACTGTTTTTAGACCATAGCCAAGTTCCCACAGGTATTCACAAGTTATCACGTAGAAACTAAAATCCCAATTTCTCTAATAAAAATTGACAAATTAGGACATTCACAGCCCAACACAAATTTAAATTTTCCACCAAGAAAGGCCAGCTTTGAATGTTTAAAGCCAAAGTGAAGAGACATTCTATAGTTATCTCACATAGATCAATATCCCATAATACACTAAAACTAAATTTGAAGCCGCATAGAAGTTGCAGTATCAAGTTGTAGGGTTGAAAGCTTGAAGCCAATCTGGTGATCTCGCAAATTATTTTATCAAAACCAGTATTTAAATTTTCCCAATTTCTTCACCGAAAATGGCAATTTGGGACCTGTACAGGCCAGAAGCAATTCAGACTTTTTTTCTAAGTATGATAGATCAGCGATTAAGGTTTAGTAACTGTTATTTAGGCTTTGGATATAAAACTTACAAATTTGTTACAGTGGCCTTGAAGGCAGGCATATGTTACGGGTACATAAAAATTACATTATGTAAATTTAACTAGGACAGTGGTTCTCAATCTTTACACCACCAAGGACCCCCTTTTATTTAAATTAATTTTTGCACGAACTCCAGGATTGACATGTCCGATTCGGTAGCCCAGAAAATAAGACCAGAAGTTTAAAAAGGCGCCTTAAAAATTAAATTACTCCTGCCGATTTGGAAAAGGCTTCGAAATTTTGACAGCTTATCTTTATCAACCTTGCCGTGAGGAATTACACATTTTACACTACAGCCTCTTGAAATTTTGAACTTAGTCCACAGACACCCAGTACTATCTTTGTGGGTCCCCAGGTGTTCGCAGACCACAGGTTGGAAACGGGTCCCCAGGTGTTCGCAGACCACAGGTTGGGAACGGGTCCCCAGGTGTTCGCAGACCACAGGTTGGGAACCCCTGAACTAGGAGAAACATTCTCTAGTTATTTCATGGAACAGAGTTTGTGTACTAAAATAAAGACAAAGCTTTCGTTGCTTGAAGCTGACCCCAAGTTGTGTTCTCCAGCTGTTGTACAGAACCCAACAGTTTGAAGTTTATTAACTAGAAAAATAAAAAGGCACAATAGTGATTGAATCAATACATAAACACGTGCTTGAAACAGTCGTAATAATTTGGGCATGTAATTAAATAAAGGCGACTTCTTTAGAATGGAGGTTGCCAGTTCGGACAAGGTGACTGTCTGGGTAACTGGTTGGTGAGTTGTGGAATTCGTCACCTGAGAGGTGGTCAGGTGGCTCACCTGGCCTTCACCACCTGCCTAACCCACCACACACACATCCTCGCCTCAACAAACTTCACTGCTATCATCGCCGTTGCTGCACAGGTCAGCCATTATCTACATTATTCTAGCAGTCGTTACGTATATCAGTGGTATTACATATCGATAATTATGTTAAGACAATATGTGGTCTGTAGCAATTTACTGATAAGATGTTTGGTGCACCAAATACCTTATCAGTTTTCATGACTACTGATTGGTCAAGTCCCTGTAACTTGTGAGTTCATTGCCTTTGTAACTTGCTCAGCTATCAAAACTTTGGGGTCCAGTCCCTGGACCAATTATGTACCTCTGTAATCTTTTGACTACCGCCCACAGGATGGGTATGGGGTGCATAATAAGCATATTAAACTAAAACTAAAGTGGAAGAGACGATGTCTCGATAAAATGTCATAAACCACATATTGCCTCTTAATAAGATTGCTGTCGTTGTGTTATTGTATAAATAAATACATTTATAAGTCAATACATAGGCCAGTAGTTAATAAAATGAAATGTACAGTGTACTGGAGGCGCACCTGAGGTGGTGGAGCAGGTGTACAGGTGCGCTGTCACCGTGGAGGGATATTCCCTCTTCCAGGAGGCAGGTCGCCGTCAGCAGCAGCTGGCACCCTCCCTGACATCTGTGCCAACCGTGGCACTGGACGGGGTGAGTAAACTCAAGGTCACTATGGCATCACTGAGAGTGTTAACTTTCACGTAAAGCAACATTTTATGACTGTACATGTGTGTATGTGCTACATTTTACATTGTGGTGATGATGTGTATATATGTCACGCTGCTAAGACAAGGTCTCAGTGTGGAAAGACGCAGTATATTTCAAGATCGCTCTTAGTAGTGTTGATTTTCATACAGATTGCCTTTTATTCCAATAAAATTAAAGAAGGAAGCAAAATGTACTTTGTGACAATGGTTTATATTGCCAATAAGATTATATATCTTTACATAAGTAAATTATTGTTGAATCACTGAGATGTTTGGTGATGGCAGGAGGTGGTGATCAGGGGAAGTGGTGAGATGAAGTACTTACCCAAGTTGCTATGTGAGCGCCTGAAGGAAGTGGCATCAGCTCAGATCTACTGCCAGCGAGCGCTTACTGTCCTGCAGTAAGTATGAGCATCATCAACACCTGCAGTACATCTTCAAGACACCCTCGCCATGTCTTACCACCTTCAGACACTTAAATCTAATGTGTATTATTGACCCCTCAAACCAGGTCGATCTCATTTTTTTAGAACCAGAAATAACTTGTTCTTAACATTTTATTTTTCCATCAACCTAATAATATCCGGTCATTAGAAGAACAAATAATATATATATATATATAATCTGTTGAAATTATTATTTCTGTTTTTTATATTTTAACGTACAGCCTCGAGTGTTGTCTTGTACTGTGTCTTACATAACGGATCTAGTTTATTTGATGCTGCTGTAATGGCTACCTCCTCCGCTTTGCTTCCTTTACACAAAATGCATATCTATTTATGCAAATGAAGCAGTTAACCAGTGTTCTGTAATTTATAGATAACCTGAAGATAAAATACAATTATCATTGAACATCCTAGTTAGCATATTCTTCACATAATGCAAAAAAAAAAGAATGTTATATGCACTGGGTTTTCATTAAAATTTGTACTTCACTTAGCTCCTAGGATGTTTTATTTTTATTATTTTAATGATATAACCTATTTGAATGTTTAGTGTTAATCAGAAAGTGTAATTTCCCCAATTATTTAGTTTAAGGACTAAGGACCAGGAATAAGTATCTAATTTCTCTAATGTTAGTAAGTTGACTAGTTCAATGATAGCAACTTAAACTTAATTGAAGTTATGAACAACTCTCCTTGTACCTGTTGGTCGTGTTCACTCTGCAGTAACTAGGCACCTGGATGTTATTAGCCTAGTGTGAACTACTTTCCATGGGATGGTAGACTTACGGATAGGCTTCTAAATAAACAGAATAGGATTTTAGCTAAGCGAACTAGGGCAGTAATTATATCCATCTCTGAATCATGGTTGGATGATGCGGTGACTGACGACGAGGTCAAAATAGGTTACAATATAAAACGCTTAGATAGGAACAGAAAAGTTGGTGGGGTATGTGGCTACATAAGAAATGACTTAGCTTATAACCCAAGACCTGATTTAAATAACAATAAACTGGAGATTCTATGGTTTGAAGGGCTGCTTCCCAAGGCCAAACCCATCTTAGTAGGACCAGTTCTTAAAAGACTTTTCCAGAGTATTGTCCGGACTTGAAAACAATTGCGAGACAGTAATACTGGGCGACTTCAATATCTGTTTTCAACAGCAAAATAACGGGCTATGCGAAAGGTATAAGCAAATTCTAGGTTTAAATAGTTACACTCAACTAATTAATAATTAATACACCAACCCGGATCACACAGTTCTCAGCCACCATAAGTGACCACATACTTTGTAACCGCGCGGAGAGCGTTAGTAAGTCAGGCGTCATTACCACAGGTCTTAGTGATCATTTCATCATTTACTGCACCAAGAAAATCACTAGGGATAGGATAGGCCTACACTGGACAATAAAAATGAGGTCAATTAGAAACTACATTAAAGAAACACTGGTAAATAGGCTACACAATTGTGACTGGACAGAGATAACAAGTTGCACGGACGTAAACGATGCCTGGGAAAAATTCAAAACAATGTTCAGTACCATCCTTGATAATATTGCACCAGTTAAAGAGGTTAGGATTAAACGAAGAACTGAACCCTGGATGACTACTGAGATATTAGATAATATGAAATTCAGAGACCAGCTGCTAAAAAGATTTAAAGCAAACAGACAGGATATTGCAGCACTAAATGAATTCCAAAGGGTGAGGAACAGAGTACAGAGACTTATAAAAGGAGCAAAGGCAAAGCACTATTGCTCAAAAATTGAAGAGTATATGCATAACCCCAAAAAGCTCTGGCAACAACTAAAACAGTTGGGGTATAGCCATAAACCAGTAAATAGGTCTAACATAGTACTCACTATCGATAATGAGGTAGGCCACGAAATAATTAAGGTGGCAAATTTTTTTCATTCCTACTGCACATCTGTCGCATCAACACTAGCAAGTAAACTACCAGCTGCATCAAATACCTTTAACACAGACTCTGATAAGTTTCAAACAAACTATACCAATAAAGAGATAATCCCAAACAGTTGTCAACTAGTAAGTGTATTTCATGACTTTATTCAAAAAGAACTAAGCAGGCTAATCCCAACTAAGAGCACAGGCCCTGATAACATCCCGTCTAAGTTCCTAAAAGATGGTGCTTCTGAACTGTCAATCCCTATTGCTCACATTATAAATTTGTCCATCACCACTAATACCGTGCCAGAGGGGTTCAAGGAGGCCAGAGTTACTCCTCTCTTCAAGAAAAATGGTAGGTCTGATGTAAGCAACCATAGGCCTGTTAGTATACTCAGTGTCATCCAAAATTTTAGAAAGGGCGGTGTACTGTCAAGTAGCTAAGTACCTTAATGATGACAACATTCTCCATAGCTATCAATCAGGCTTTAGAAGATCTTACTCAACCGACACCTCCATAATTAATCTGATGGATTACATGAGAACTGAAATGTCAATAGGGAACCTCATAGGTATGGTAACCTTAGACCTACCAGATATGGTAAACACGAGGAAATTAAAACTTCATCAGAGTACAAAACTAATTCTGGCCACAAAATAGAGCGAAACACCAACGTCAAAGACCTGGGAGTGATCATGTCGGAGGATCTCACCTTCTAGGACCATAACATTGTATCAATCGCAGCTGATAGAAAAATGACAGGATGGATAATGAGAACCTTCAAAACTAGGGATGCCAAGCCCATGATGACACTCTTCAGGTCACTTGTTCTATCTAGGCTGGAATATTGCTGCACACTAACAGCACCTTTCAAGGCAGGTGAAATTGCTGATCTAGAAAATGTACAGAGAACCTTCACGGCGCTCATAACGGAGATAAAACACCTCAATTACTGGGAGCGCTTGAAGTTCCTGAACCTGTATTCCCTGGAACGCAGGCGGGAGAGATACATGATTATATATACATGGAAAATCCTAGAGGGACTAGTACCGAACTTGCACACGAAAATCACTCACAACGAAAGCAAAAGACTTGGCAGACGATGCAACATCCCCCCAATGAAAAGCAGGGGTGTCACTAGCACGTTAAGAGACCATACAATAAGTGTCAGGGGCCCGAGACTGTTCAACTGCCTCCCAGCATACATAAGGGGGATTACCAATAGACCCCTGGCAGTCTTCAAGCTGGCACTGGACAAGCACCTAAAGTCGGTACCTGACCAGCCGGGCTGTGGCTCGTACGTTGGTTTGCGTGCAGCCAGCAGTAACAGCCTGGTTGATCAGGCTCTGATCCACCAGGAGGCCTGGTCACAGACCGGGCCGCGGGGGCGTTGACCCCCGGAACTCTCTCCAGGTAAACTCCAGGCAAAAGGCCTTCGATACTGTCAGATAAGATTAAGATAAGATTTCGTTCGGATTTTTAACCCCGGAGGGTTAGCCACCCAAGAAAGTCAGTGCGTCATCGAGGACTGTCTAACTTATTTCCATTGGGGTCCTTAATCTTGTCCCCCAGGATGCGACCCACACCAGTCGACTAACACCCAGGTACCTATTTGCTGCTAGGTGAACAGGACAATAGGTGCAAGGAAACGTGTCGAAATGTTTCCATCCGCCGGGAATCGAACCCGGGCCCTCCGTGTGTGAAGCGGGAGCTTTAGCCACCAGGCCACCGGGCCACACCATATATTATGTAAGAAACATCAAGCTATCGGTATAGGTTCTGCAGACTGGTTTAAGTCCTACCTTAGCAACAGGAGACAAATTGTCAAAATCAACATAACGGAATCAGAACCCCTTCCGATAGCATGAGGAGGTCCCCAAGGTAGTATTCTGGGTCCGTTATTATTCCTATGCTTTTGTAAATGACAGTGTCAAGTGCAAACTCTTACTGTATGCAGATGACAATGCTCAGTTAGTGTCAGGTAAAGACCCACAAGATATAGCTAATATATTAACACTGGAACTGGAGTCCTGCAGCAAATGGTTAGTAGACAACAAACTATCATTACACCTCGGGAAAACTGAAGCCATTGTCTTTGGCACGAAATATAAACTGAGAAGGGTAAATAATTTTAATGTGCAGTGTAATGGGGAGCCCATCACTTCAGTTTCCTCAGTAAGATATCTGGGAATCCCCTTTGACCCATGCATGTCAGGAGAATTGATAGGAAACAGTGTAGTAAAGGAAGCGAATGCCAGACTGAAATTCCTCTATAGACAAGCACAGTGTCTACCCACTGAGGCTCGCAGGACCCTATGTCTAGCCCTTATACAATGTCATATGGATTAAGCTTTCTCTTCATGGTACTCTGCCTTAACGTCTACAATAAAGATACCCAGATGTTGCACATGTGTCTTAATTTCATCTTGTCGGTATTGTATACCATTCTTGTACAAATATATTTATATCAGTGAGTGTGTTATGTTCAATAATACTTGAAGTGAATTTTGATTTGGCAGTGTAATCAAAATTTGTCTACCTAACTTACATTTAGTTGTTTATATGGTCCATAAACATGTTCCTGGACACTAAGCTAAGGGAGACTACATGGGTAATGTATTGGTTTTTCATGTATTGTTTGATCAATAAATAATGCTACAGAAAAAAGTGACTTCCACAGCTCCCTCCAAAAATTAAAATTTTGGATTGTTGCACAGTGTATATTTTTGAAATCAGTATAAAAAGAGTTTTAAATTGTATGCTACTCAACATAGCGAAACTAAAATAAATGCCTATTTCTTCGAGGGGCGCAGCCCCAAACTACGATTTTGAACTTCATATAGACTAAACTCTGCTTCTGGGTAAAGGTTTAGCGCTTCCCTGCGAATATAATAATAATAATGTTCCTGGGTATAAAGACCTCACCAAGTTCACTTGCAATGGCTTTCATGGGGACAGTGATAAACACATAGGTGGGGCCAGGAGCTGTGATATGACCCCAGCAACCACATATAGGCGAGTGCACATACGCACACGCACGCACGCACTCACACATAAGAAGGAACACTACAGCAGGCCTACTGGCCCATGCGAGGCAGGTCCAAGTCTCCTACCGGCTTATGCTACTGACTTAATCTAATCAGATCCAGGTCACATCCACTTAAGGAAGGAGCACGGCATCAGACCTACTAGCACAAGCTAGTTAATTCCAACTCACACCCACCAGGTTAGACCAAAGTATTTCCTTTCTTATAACATTTTCAATATTACTTCGTAGAATACTTTCTAGGTCTGAACCACAAAAGCTGTCAGTAAACCTAACACTAGTCTTCATCCCCATTTCCAATTGATAGTTCCTGAGGAGGGTAGTTTCAATTCATTGGATGAGGAATCTTTCACCTGCATCAAGCCACCAGAGACTCCGTCCTTCCGTCAAGACAAAAACATGAGAGTTTGTACATATCAACCTCTAAGATCCTCTTCAACATATATAAAACTGAGACTCTCCAGTACATCATCTGGCCTTGGTTATTATTATTTATGTGAAGCGCTAAAACTGTTTGATTAATATTTTAATTATAATTGTAAATTACTGAACAGTTTTATAGAATTTTTGTACTGATATTTAGCAAAAACAATTTAACATAATTTGGATCAACACACAATTATTATGCTTTATTAACACTAATGATTGTGATGTGATATTTCTAGAACATTGGAATAAAGATATTGACACCATTGTTGTTACTGTTATTATCTACCTCATTCAAACACCTACATAAAATTATAGCAAATATTCTGTATTAAAGAAATACATTATATAAATGAAATGAATGTTGAGAAATTTGATTTCCTATGATATTACCAACTTTTTATCAAAATATTTTATTTTTCAAATTTATTTTCCAAAATATACAATGTAACAAATGGTATAAGTGATGTAGCGATTTGCTGTGCTTTTAATAATAAAATACATTAGGTATATACTCTACAACAGCAAAAAAATGTTAGAAGCGGTTGTTATACTTAACGTTGTGGTAACTTCACTATTGTTGCTCATTAAGGTAGGTTAAAAATTCCAGGTTAAGTCGTCAGAAGTGTGAACTAATTAGTCTGCTACAGTTTATAATTTTATTATTATTATTATTATGACCCGTATGGGTCATACGGGTTTAGCACCTGCGGATCAGGAGGTAATCAGGTTTAATTCAAGGATAACGAGACTAACTCCAGTTCCTGGGATCAAGTGCCTTACACCGGCACTAAGAGACCATTCCTGAAATAAAGCTTCCTTCCATGACGTCTAACATAAGACCATCCATCAGGGGCAAGACATTCACGATACTCAAAAACAAATAAATTCGACAAAAATTTATTTAAGGAATCAAGAAGGGATGAAAAAACTACCCACTGCAATAATCACTTTATTAACGAGCTACTGTAGGCTGGATCACTGGATGCGATAGTTACATAGTTATTTATAAATGTTACAGTAAATCAAATCACATTAGCTGAAAGTTTTGGCTGTGGCTGGCGGGTTTGTGCGTTATATATAATATTTTCAACTGTATTTCGTGTTAAATAACAGATTCAAGCTATGTAGAATGACGTATTATAATAGTGGGTGTATAGATGGTTATAGGACTTAGAGAGCTGGTTGTAATGGTGCGGCTTGTGGTTGTCGAGCTGGTTCTTGTGGTGGAGGTCGTTAAGATGGTTGTGGTGGTGGTCGTTAAGATTGTTGTCGAGCTGGCTGCTGTGGTCGTCTAGATGGTTGTCTAGCTGATTGTTGAGATGATTGTCGAACTGGCTGTTATGGTTGTCGTTAAGATGGTTGTCGAGCTGGTTGTTGTGGTGGTCGTTAAGATGGTTGTCTAGCTGGTTGTTGTGGTGGTCGTTAAGATGGCTGTCTTGCTGGTTGTTGTGGTGGCCATTAAGATGGTTGTCTAGCTGGTTGTTGTGGTGGCCATTATGATGGTTGTCTAGCTGGTTGTTGTGGTGGCCATTAAGATGGTTGTCTAGCTGGTTGTTGTGGTGGCCATTAAGATGGTTGTCTAGCTGGTTGTTGTGGTGGCCATTAAGATGGTTGTCTAGCTGGTTGTTGTGGTGGCCATTAAAATGGTTGTCTAGCTGGTTGTGGTGGCCATTAAGATGGTTGTCTAGCTGGTTGTTGTGGTTGCCATTAAGATGGTTGTCTAGGTGGTTGCTGTGGTGGTTCTTGAGATCGTTGTCGAACTGGCTGTTATGGTGGTCGTTAAGATGGTTGCCGAGCTGGTTGTTGTGGTCGTTGAGCTGGTTACTGTGACGGTCACTGAGATGACTGCTGTGGTTGTTGAGATGGTTATTGTGGTGGTCGTTAGGATGGTTGCCGAGCTGGCTCTTGTGATGGTCGTTAAGATGGTTGTTGTGTGTGAGAGTGGTACAGAGGAACTCCTGAAGACAGTGGTTGTAGCAGCAACGCTCACCTTGCCAGCACTGACTGTCTATCATACAACCACGCTTGTCAACCTACAAAACACATACAATATATATCATACACCCACGATCATCGTACAAAATATATCATGCGTATTACACACCACAATTAATCTACAAAACATACCATCCGCATGATACACCCATCATCAACCTACGAAAGACATACCATGTCAATAATATATATATATATATATATATATATATATATATATATATATATATATATATATATATATATATATATATATATATATATATATATATATATATATATATATATATATATATAAAGCAGGAAACTTTAACAAAAAAAACATAAATTACTGTTGAAGTAGAATTACTCGGAGACTCCAATGCAAAGTTCTTAAAACTTACCATAGTTAGCACATTATTATGTTTGAAGGCAATTTAATATAAAATTATATGAGATCACAGAAAGAAAAGCATAAATATCAAGAATTTCTGATAATAACATACACTTCAACTACGACTTTCCGTATAGCTCTCGCCTGCGAATGGGAGATAAGCAGGCTTGATCCAAGGAAGGAGAGGACATTTCAGTTTTTTGGATCCAGCACCTTCACCAGCATCCATGTACCACATCGAAAGGGTTAAAAATTTATAGTATTATTTATGTGGAAAATTTGGGATTTTCCTAAATTCAGCATGTGTAAATCTGAATAATATAATAATTGTGTAATAAAATATGATGGTGATTTGACCCTTTCGAGAAATTTCGAGTGAGGGGGGGGGTACATAATAGCTGCTGAGTGACGCCGGGAAGGAACGCCATATTGAACTTAATGTGTGAACACTGGACTGAACTGTGCAATGTAATCTGGCGTTCTCGAAGGTCAATTGGTGTATATCGGCTTCAATCCGTAATTTAGAAATTGCTGACACGTTCCTGCTGAAGAACTGGGATAAATAGCGAGGAAAACTCTTACAATTCGGCAACAAGGACGGAAAAATAGGGAACTCCAATCCTTCCCAGCAACACACTTTAGCTAAGTGACGGTTACCCATAATGTAGATTAGTTTTTCCGTTGGCCATCGTAAATCTTAGCTGTAGAGGTAGCGTTAAGGTGTGTTACCAAAAAATAATTATGATCCAGTAATTAAATGTTAAGTAGTAATACGAATTTCCTTTCTAATAACACTAATAATTTATAAATATTAATTATAGTATTCCGTGTACCCAGGAAGCCTAATCATATACATTATTATTATTATTATTATTATTATTATAAAGGGGAAGCGCTAAACCCGTAGGATTATACAGCGCCTGGGGGGGATGTAGAAGACAGGCTTAATTCGGGGAACTGGAACACAGATCCAATTCCCTAAATCAAGAGCCCCTCACCAACATCAAGGAACCTTCCCTGAGGGGCTAATCATATACAGTCCACACAACTTTAATTTACCAGAGTAGCTGATTTTAATATTATAATATTAATTTAATGTCTGGTCTAGGTTTTTGTGAGTGGCAGGGAGTGGGCATCGAGGGAGTGACAGTTCGGCGACCTGGTGTAAGTCCCACTTACCTCACCCAAATTACTTGCAGGTAATATATTCAGGCAATACCCTGTAAACCTCCTGTAGGTAATTTGGTCACATAATAATAATTCGCAATTAATATAAGGCCTACATATTTGCAGATATTGGCAACGGCTATTACTAGGCACATTATTAACATACAAGCTAATGTTCACTTCATTCAAGTATCAAAAACTGTAGTTACTCTCCAATATTCGATATGTCTCTCACTTTACACTAGTAACTGTCTACTTTCTAATTTACTATGACCTTGCCTATGGAATTTGTACTTGGGATTTTTTCCTCAGCTATCCACTAACAACTAATTACCGTATCATAAAGTCAAATTTTAGGCAACACGCTATGCGGTTATTTAAATCCATAAAGCTACTAAATCTAAATGTCACATAACTGTTATACTGTTCGCTTCACTTGGTGAGGGAAGGTAGTGACTTCTGAGTGACCTGGACAAGTGTTTACTGACCTTGTGAAGGGAGGTGGTGACCTCTGAGTGACCTGGACAAGTGTTTACTAACCTTGTGAGGGGAGGTGGTGACCTCTGAGTGACCTGGACAAGTGTTTACTGACCTTGTGAGGGGAGGTGGTGACCTCTGAGTGACCTGGACAAGTGTTTACTGACCTTGTGAGGGGAGAAGTTGACCTCTGAGTAACCTGGACACGGGGTTACCTGGCTTGGACACTCGCTGGTATCAGCAGCTGGTGGTAGTAAGGCCGCTGCAGGTCATACATGGTTGTGAAGACATGTACAGTGATACAATTTATAATGACGTCACCATACAAGGCTAAAGTGACACCTTAATGTATACTGACATCTGTATTGTTACATATATTATATTATATTTAGCTGAAAACGCTATACTAAGATATGAGGTATATAGACATTAGGCTTATGTACACCACTATATATATATATATATATATATATATATATATATATATATATATATATATATATATATATATATATATATATATATATATATATATATATATATATATATATATATATATGTCGTGCCGAATATGTAAAACTGGTCAATTAGCAAGAACTCATTTAAAATTAAGTCCTTTCTAAAATTTTCTCTTATACGTTTAAAGAAATATTTTTTCATTAATGTTGATGTAAAAATTTATAATTTTGCACCAAAAGGAACTTAGAAAACTTACCTAACCTTATTATAACAAGCGCAATTTATTTTAGCCTAACCCAACTAAATATATTTTTGATTTGTTTACAATCATTTAATACTAAACAAACAGTGAAATATATTTTTTTTTCGTTAGGTTCAGAATGATTTTGGCGAAATTATTGCATACACAAATTTTCACTTGTCCTACATGGCAAGGTGAGCGTTGCTATTTAAGCCAAGATCGTAAGTTCTGCCTATTCGGCACGACATATATATATATATATATATATATATATATATATATATATATATATATATATAATATATATATATATATATATATATATATATATATATATATATATATATATATATATATATATATATATATGTCGTGCCGAATATGTAAAACTGGTCAATTAGCAAGAACTCATTTAAAATTAAGTCCTTTCTAAAATTTTCTCTTATACGTTTAAAGATATATTTTTTTCATTAATGTTAATGTAAAAAAAATTAATTTTGCACCAAAAGATTCTTAGAAAACTTACCTAACCTTATTATAACAAGAGCAATTTATTTTAGCCTAACCCAACTAAATATATTTTAGATTTGTTTACAATAATTTAATACTAAACAAACACAGTGAAATATATTTTTGTCTTTAGGTTCAGAATGATTTTGGCGAAATTATTGCACACACAAATTTTCACTTGTCCTATATGGCAAGATGAGCGTTGCTATTTAAGCCAAGATCGCAAATTCTGCCTATTCGGCACGACATATATATATATATATATATATATAATATATATATATATATATATATATATAATATATATATATATATATATATATAATATAATATACATATATATATATATATATATATATATATATATATATATATATATATATATATATATAAATATATATAAATACAGAGATTATTACAGCAATACTTCACAAAATTCTTCAATATCATCTAGTTTATTCCAGGTACGGTGAAGCACGTGTTGGTATCATCACTGATCTTAATTAATACAATCGGTAGGTTGTCATAAATCAGACAAAATATATACTTAGATAATACTTACAATCTTTGCAGCAGTTATATATCTTCTCTTTTCCCAAACATATTTTGTTGCATCTGGGAAAGAAAAAAATTCTTACGTTTACGGAAATCATTGTATACATCTCTCCAAAACTATATTCAAACTTTCTTTAAATTACAGATGATAGGCTTGTTTTTGCTGGTACTTATAGATTAGTAATGGAGATAAATAATAACATGTTTTAACAGTACGAGTTACACTTTACTGTCTTTCCAATCTCATAAAAAATAATAATAATGAAATGAAGACTATAAAATATTTTTCACAATTTGAGGAATATTTATATCGTGTAGGAATAAAAAATAATTAACACACCGGCCGTCTCCCACCGAGGTACGAAGACATTTTCAATCTTGCTAAAGTGTGCTGACATCATAATTCTGATGACTGAACTGCAACATCAACACCCTCATTCAGAGTGCAGTTAATAAACGTGAGAATCAATAACCACTGTAGTAAACGTAAGGAAATTTATCATAGGTCTCTCACGCAACTATCATAATTACACACATTAGCTTTCTGAGAGATAATTTCTCATTGAGAATAATCTAGGCAGCAGGACGGAGGATACCTTAGGCAACAGGAGGAAGGATAACCTAGGCAACAGGAGGGAGGATAACTTAGGCAACAGGAGGGAGGATAACCTAGGCAGCAGGAGGGAGGATAACTTAGGCAGCAGGAGGGAGGAAAACTTAGGCAGCAGGAGGGAGGATAACCTAGGCAGCAGGAGGGAGGATAACTTAGGCAACAGGAGGGAGGATAACCTAGGCAGCAGGAGGGAGGATAACTTAGGCAACAGGAGGGAGGATAATTTAGGCAGCAGGAGGGAGGATAACCTAGGCAGCAGGAGGAAGGATAACTTAGGCAACAGGAGGGACGATAACCTAGGCAGCAGGAGGGAGGATAACTTAGGCAACAGGAGGGAGGATAACCTAGGCAGCAGGAAGGAGGATAACTTAGGCAACAGGAGGGAGGATAACTTAAACAACAGGATGAAGGATAACGTAGGCAGTAGGAGGGAGGATAACCTAGGCAGCAGGAGGGAGGATAACTTAGGCAACAGGAGGGAGGATAACCTAGGCAGCAGGAGGGAGGATAACTTAGGCAACAGGATGAAGAATAACCTAGGCAGTAGGAGGGAGGATAACCTAGGCAGCAGGAGGGAGGATAACCTAGGCAGTAGGAGGGAGGATAACCTAGGCAGCAGGAGGGAGGATAACTTAGGCAACAGGATGAAGGATAACCTAGGCAGTAGGAGGGAGGATAACCTAGGCAGCAGGAGGGAGGATAACTTAGGCAACAAGAGGAAGGATAACCTAGGCAGTAGGAGGGAGGATAACCTAGGCAGTAAGGTCAGCAGGATGGAGGATAACCCAGGCAGCAAGGTCAGCAGGATGGAGGATAACCCAGGCAGCAAGGCCAGCAGGATGGAGGATAACCCAGGCAGCAAGGCCAGCAGGAGGGAGGATAACCCAGGCAGCAAGGCCAGCAGGAGGGAGGATAACCTAGGCAGCAGCTGGGAAAATGAGGGGAGGAAATTTGTTTAGTAAACTCTTGCAGCTGGTGTTAAACAAGACAACCCTCATGTGTTCCCGGACTTCTCAGTAAACAAGTGAGGTGTCAGGAGACAAGACTAAATACACCAAGCAGACTTAACTCGCTGCACGTCACGTTTACAAGGGACAACATATGTTTTTTATATTGCAGATTTCAAACCCCAATAAAGTAATGTAATGTATAAATGGACTTACATTAAGAAATGCATTAGGGATGGTAGCTGACCCTAAAAAGGACTGGGTTCTAAAATGAGCTGAAATATCGTAACAGTAAACTTTGTCTGTAACTGAGTTGTGGTAGGATAACAGCTGAGGCAGAATAACAGCTAACTTAGATTGTCAATGAGCTGAAGGAAGATAACTGAGGTAGAATAACAGCTTACTCAGCATGCAAATGAGCTGGGAAAGAACAGCCGAGATAGAATAACAGTTTGCTTAGCCTGTAAAATTCAAGTGTAAACAGTTTTGTCTAACGTAAACAGGACATCAACATTATTATTCTATACATTTTAAGGGTAAGATACTCTGCGCTAGCATTACCTGCCTCCACATTCCCTTGTAAAAAATATACTGTTACAGCAGCTGCAGCAGCAGCACTGCCGCCGACACCATTAGCAGTATTAGTTATAGTAGCAACTTCATTAACTCATCTATTGATAGTTGTACATGTGTGAACTTGTCATAAGAATGAAGGAACAGTGTATTAAGTCTAATGGTCCATGCTAGACAGGTCTAACTCACACACCCGTCAGATCAATATTTAAAGCAACCCAATGACGCTACCTGAGAGCTTGTGCCATTCATCTACAACTCTATTTCCAAACCAGTGCTTCCCTATATCATTCTTAAATCTAAATTTCTTCAACTTGAATCCAGTGTTGCGAGTCCTGTTTTCATTTCATATTTTCAAAGCTTTATTTATTACCCTTTTATTTATTCATGTTTTCTATTTGTACGCTTCAGTCGATATATATCTCCTTTAATTCTACTTATTTCAAGAGTGCAAATTTCAGTCTCGTCTATCCTCGTAGGAAAGGTTTCCTGAAGGTGGTCATCCTTCCCTGTATATTTTTCAGTGCATTTGTGTCCCCTCTGTAATATGGAGACCAGGGCTGAACAGTGCAATCTAAATGAGGCCTTACCCAAGATATATAGGATATATATGGAAATAAGTCACTGACTTTTTTTTTTGGTTATCCTAAGTAATCTACACATGTGCTGCTATGTATGATAATTTAGGTATACATTTATGTGTACCTGTACCTATAATAAATAATAATAATAATAATAATAATAATAATATTTATTTTCAACAAGTATATGTACAAGGTATACACTCCTAGCTGACATCAATGACATACTACTATATAGAAAGCCCCTTGTTATGCAGAGCATTTCTGGAAAATTAGGTCAATTTTGTCCCGGGATGCGACCCACACCAGTCAACTAACACCCAGATACCCATTGTACTGATGGGTGAACATGGACAGCAGGTGTAAAGAAACACGCCCAATGTATCCTCCCTTGCCGGGAATCGAACGTGGACACTCAATGTGTGAAGCGAGAGCTTTGCCAACCAGGACACGAGCCACATAAATAAACTTAACTTCTTCAAGAATCTTACTGGTTTTATTGCGAAAACTTTTGCACTGTTGTCCTGGCTTTAAATTTCTACTAACCAGAAGTCCTAAACCTTTTCTCGCATATAACCACACTAAAAACATCATGAATATACCTGGTTTCAGTCAGTGATTACGTGAAAAGTTGGTAATATTTCTCGAATATATAATACTTCCATTCTATTAAATTTAACTTTCATTCATGGTCATACGTTTAGCTTACCCTCGCTTGACGTTGGTGCTGAAAACTGAGTTTGATGTCCGATTTGTCGACCACTGTGATCTGTAGGTTGGTTTTATCTTTCTAGGTTTTGTTGGTAATGGTTTAGTATACAGTGGCCTAGTCCACATTACTGTAGGATTTACCGGTCTTGTTGGTGGTTTTGGAGTATATGGAGCCCTGGTCAATGGCTTTGTAGGCCTTTCTGGAGCGTATGTTGGTCGTATTGGCTTTGGATAATTAGTGGGTTGTATTGGTATGTATGGAGGTTTGGTGCGTGGTAATGTTGGATAAAAAACTGGTCGTGTTGGGTCGGTAGGCTTTGGGGGTCGTATTGCGGTGGGAGGGGGATGTGTTATTGGGGGATATGTAGGCCATGTTGCAGTAGGATAGGAACGTGTAATTGGGGGAACAGTGGGCCAAGTTGGGGTAGGATAGGGGCGTGTAAGTGGTGGAACAGTGGGCCAAATGGTGGTGGGATAGTGGTGTGTAATTGGAGGAATGGTGGGCCAAATGGTGTTGGGGTGATTACGTGTAACTGGGGGAATGGTGGGCCAAATGGTGTTGGGGTGATTACGTGTAACTGGGGGATTGGTGGGCCAAAAGGCGCTGGGATAGTGGTATGCAACTGGAGGAATGTTAACGAACCAAGTGGAGGGGGTATTGGTTGGCCCTGGTGGAGTAAGAGGCGCAGATGCAGACGATGTATAGTATGGTGTCAGGTTCATACAGGGATTGTAGCACAAGTCAGGGAGTGGGTAGCACCATGGGTTGCTGTTGGCATAGTAAGGCATGAAGGCATCCCGAGGACATCTTTTAATCCTAGTGACTTTGTGTGCTGTCACATTGTTGACTGAGGGGATGATGTCAGACGCTGCTGCTAATGTTATTGATATCAGGACAATACATATCCAGACCACCTGTGAACGAAGAAGAGTGGTGGTTAGTTGAAATTGGGACGGCGAGGAGAGGGAGATGCACATGTCTAGAACTACATCTATAATGAATACATTATAGATGAACACAATTGTCTCGAACTACAGCTTAGGAACATACTAGTCGAAAGCTATGACTATAGGGAATATCCTAGCCTAAAACTGCAACTATAGGGAATACACTAGTCAAGAGCTACAACTATTGGGAATACACTAGTCGAGCTACAATATGGGGAGTACACTAATCTAGAACTACAGCTACAGGGAAAACACAAGTCTAGACCTAAAGCTATAGGAATACACTTCTTTTTTATAATAATAATAATAATAATAATAATAATAATAATAATAATAGAGGAATACACTAGTGTAGGGGTACAATATAGATAATACAACAATCTAAAGATACAACTATAGGGAATACATTAGCCGAGTTACAGTATAGGAAGTACACTAGTCTAGAGCTACAGCTATAAGGAATACACAAGTCTAGACCTACAGCTATAGGAATACACTAGAGCTACAATATAGATAATACAGGTCTATAACTACAACTATAAGGAATACACTAGTCGAGCTAGAGTACAGGGAATACACTAGTCTAGAGCTACAATATAGGGACTACACGTCTTAGTGTTACAATATAAGGAATACACCAGTCTAGAGCTACAATATACGGAATACACTAGTCTAGAGCTACAATATACGGAATACACTAGTCAAGAGTTACAACTATGGGGAATTTATTTAAACATTACTAATGTTTAATGCATTAATGCATTTGTAGACTACATGAAGAGGAGGCTGAATGTATCAGTGTTTTAATGTTATGTCGATATGTGTGATATTAGCCTAAGATACGCGTCCACCTGGGAAAACAAGAATAACATGACATCAAGACAATACAGTACTCAAACAAGGCAGGTACACGTCTGACATCCAAATATACATCGGTATACACCATGGAACTTCTAAAACCAAGGTTTTTTTTCACATTTCTTGCCGATATAACAAATACATATCTGATATACATCTTAGCATATGCTGATGTATTACTCTGAGAACACTATAATAAATGTACAAATTAGTGTAGATATAACCTATTTAAATTTTCACCAAATAACGAACACAAACAACACTTGCCTACTATAATCATAAGAAACAGTCCCATCAAACATTAAAGTGTAAACAAATACAAAGGAATGTATTTTGAGTGAGCACCTAACCTGGAAACACCACATCCAAGATGTCACTCAACCGAGGCTTACAATCTTCAAGGTACTAATTAGAATATCCCAAAAAGCACATTACAAAATTCTTCTTCATTTCTGCAGTACATACAGCCATAGTCAGATTCAGTATTGCTATCAAGCATACGCATCAGCAGCACCATACAAAAAAAAAAAATGAACACAATACAGGACACTGCCACGAGAATAATTTGTGGAATTTTACGAAGTGTTTGCAAGTGACGTGACAGGATGAGGGTCGGCCATTTTTTGTCAATAATGTAGTAGTGTTAACCTCTCTTCAAGTGCAGCAAAACAGTGTTTGTTTGAAGGTTCTGAGATGCCTGAAATCTGCTGTGCTGTGAGTTATTCAAATAGAAAGTGGTAGAAAGGAGTGTTATTTTATGGTATTCCTGTCGACAAACTCTGGAAGAACTGGTTAACGGGGACCTGGAGACATCCTGGCTGCTACACAAACCTGCGTATCACACTCCGTCTCAGGAAAGTAGTTGCTAATGCCTGGAAGGTGTTCCGAGGGTCAACGTCCTCACTGCCCGGTCCATGACCACGCTTCGTGGTGGATCAGGGAAAGATCAACCAGGCTGTTACTGCTGGCCGCACGCAAACTGAATTAGGAATCACAGCCCAGCTGGTCAGGTACTGACTTTAGGTGTCTGTCCAGCTAATGATTCGTGCTTATCATAAAAAAAATGATGCTTCCATTGTAAGACTTAGCTTGAGTAGAGCCTTGTTAATGACTCGGACAGGTTCTCTTGAATAGTTCGTGAGGCATATTTATCAGCATGACCAGAAGTTACTAAGAGGATTGTCCCCCGGGGGAGATACCCTGACGCTGGTTTTGTGTGGTATACCAAGCATATTAAAGAGGGTGTGTTGGGACGGGTGTTTGTACGTGGAGTATGTATATAAGGCGTGCATGTGGGAATGTTAGTATTATCTCAGGGCAGCTGAGTGTAAGTGAAATCTTGGCTCGGTCGAGGGCAATCCTGATTTATTTATCTTGCTGTGTCTGTCCCCCTCCAGGGAGGTTCCTTGACGCTGGTGAGGGGCTTTTGATCTAGGGAATTGGATCTGTGCTCCAGTTCCCTGAATACCTTCCATCCCCCCACAGGCGCAGTATAACCCTACGGGTTTAGCGCTCCTCTGGATTATAATTGCTGTGTGTACTTATCAATATGTAGTCGAAAGGGTCGCTTTCTAGCTCCTGGCCTTGCCTCTCTACTTGCCGCTGACCAAATAACTCTCTTAGCCTAATGAGCCCTGTCTTACTTGATCTTGAAACTATGCATGGTATCTGCCTCCACTTCTTCGCTGAGGTCATTCCACTTCCCGACCACCTTGAAACTAAAACAAATACTTCCTGAAATCTTCGTGGCTTATCTGCGTCTTCAACTTCCAGCTTTGCCGCCGAGTACCAGTTTTTCGCCTCTCAAGCAGCCTATCCCTGTCTACCCTATCAATTCCTCTTGAGTATTTTGTATGTTATCATGTCTCCCCCGGTTGTTCTCTAGTATCGTTAGATTCAATTCCGCTAGCCACTCTCCTGATTATCTTCTCCATTATCTTACAAGATATTGCTGTCAGTGAATCTGGTCTGTAGTTCAACGCTTCCTGTTCGTCTCCTTCCAGACCTTTAGCAACTGTCCTGTGTCCCTCGACTTCTTGTAGATCTTAACTAGTGGTTTGGATAATGTTTCTGCTCCCTCTTGCAGAATCTATGGTGACACTTTCCCAGATGTCACCAAAGATTCTGTTTTGTTAATGTCTTCTCTCTTGTGTATATGGTGTCCAGTACCTGTCATATACTCTTCCCTAGGCTTTCTGGATTGCCAGTTTCCGTTGTGAAGACCTCTTTAAATCGTTTATTCAACACTTTAAAGACGTCTGTATCATTTTGTGAGAGCTCTCATATCTTTTTCAATCGAATTACCTGATCGTTTACTGTCGTCTTTCTTCTGATGTGGTCATGAAGCAGTTTAAGCCATTCTCAAATTATTGCTCAGCCTCTCTCCTCACCCTTGCACATTCGTTTCTGGTTAATCTGCTCACTATTTACTCTGTATGTCATCCATCCTCGTTGTTTTGTTTATCATATGTTTTGATAGTTTTCATTGTTTATACCACACTACTTGCTCCAGAATGTGTCCGATAATCCACCACTAGCTTGTGAAGAAATGTTTTGTAGCATCCTTTCACCACCTTTTGTGTTACGCTACAGCTTTTATGTGGCTTTCTCTGATATTATTTTTCCATGTATCACAGTCTACATTCTTCGTGATCATTTTTTCGCTTTTTCTATTTATTTTTGGTAGCACTTTTTTCCCAGTCCCTTCACATATAACTTTTCAACGTAAAACTCCATCATCCACGTCTCTTTCCATTTGTTCAGGCTATCCAAATTACGTAGCTTAATGGGCTTACACTATTTATAGAATTTTGCATCATCTACAGATATATTCATAATATCAGTCAAGTTACTGTGACTTGCATTTCTTTATTTATACACTTATTTATCGTTCTGGCAAATCATTTATATAAATTTAGAACATAAACGTAGCTAGTTCTGAGCTTCGTGGGATCCCCACTAGTAACCTTATATGAATCATGACAACATTATTCGTTTAATGGCTGATCACACTTTTTTCGCGTGCCAAAAAAATACATCTTCAGTTGTAGTAGTATGCATTTTTTTATTACCCACTTCTTGTTATGTATGCATTAGGCTTTTCATGAGGTATTGTATCAAGAAGCTTTTTTCTAATACAAGTATATGAACTTTCCTCACACATTTCTTTACTGTGTGATTAGATTGTAATATTTTACTTCTGGGGGTGTTTCTGGATAGAGTTGTTGATGCAAGGTGTTCTAAATTGGTTGGTTAATTGGGATTAATGACCATTGACTACACGAGGGTAATTAAGGCTGAACATAAACTTTACTTGTCATCCCTTGAGAAATTTTAAGTGCCAAGCTCAGGATTCGAACCTGAGACCCAAGTTTTGAGAGGCGTATCTCTCTCCACTGGGCTGTCTTGGTGGGGTATACAACAACAGCCTGAGTATGCTACCACCTGCAGCTCATATAAGACTGCCATCCCCACGACCCCCTTTGGGGCGGGGCAGGTGGCAGACCAGAGGCCTAGCTTCTCCCTACGAGCCCCGTGAGGGCGGGGACTGTGGCTAGGCCTGGGGACAGTTGGTTTCAAAGATAAGGGGGTACTTGTACCTCCTCCCATGGGAGACTTAGGTCTCGAGATACTCCCCAGATAGGGAGCCAAGGCCGGGTCACCACTACTTGGAAAAAGACCTGGGCCGGGAGAATACCGGCGAATAAAAGAAAAAAAAAAGAAAAAAAAACTTCATACTTTAATCCCTAAAATAAGAATTAAAGCAAATTATGAATGTATATCCCCTGAAAGACAATTCATGATAAATATATACATACAGTCTACGCTATTTTCATGTATGAGATTGTCTGGTGTCAGTGTTATTCCGAGGAGGACGCCACTCAAGTAGACTGTCTAGTGTCAGTGTTATTCTGAGGAGGACGCCACTCAAGTAGACTGTCTAGTGTCAGTGTTATTCCGAGGAGGACGCCACTCAAGTAGACTGTCTAGTGTCAGTGTTATTCTGAGGAGGACGCCACTCAAGTAGACTGTCTAGTGTCAGTGTTATTCCGAGGAGGACGCCACTCAAGTAGACTGTCTAGTGTGAGTGTTATTCTGAGGAGGACGCCACTCAAGTAGACTGTCTAGTGTCAGTGTTATTCCGAGGAGGACGCCACTCAAGTAGACTGTCTAGTGTGAGTGTTATTCTGAGGAGGACGCCACTCAAGTAGACTGTCTAGTGTCAGTGTTATTCCGAGGAGGACGCCACTCAAGTAGACTGTCTAGTGTCAGTGTTATTCTGAGGAGGACACCACTCGGTAGATTGTCTAAGGACGCCACTCGGTAGATTGTCTAGTGTCAGTGTTATTCCGAGGAGGACGCCACTCAAGTAGATTGTCTAGTGTCAGTGTTATTCCGAGGAGGACGCCACTCAAGTAGACTGTCTAGTGTCAGTGTTATTCTGAGGAGGACACCACTCGGTAGATTGTCTAAGGACGCCACTCGGTAGATTGTCTAGTGTCAGTGTTATTCCGAGGAGGACGCCACTCAAGTAGATTGTCTAGTGTCAGTGTTATTCCGAGGAGGACGCCATTCAGGTAGAATGTCTAGTGTCAGTGTTATTCCGAGGAAGACGCCACTCCATAGATTGTTAGATTGTCTAGTGTCAGTGTTATTCCGAAGAGGACGCCACTCAAGTAGATTGTCTAGTGTCAGTGTTATTCCGAGGAGGACGCCATTCAGGTAGAATGTCTAGTGTCAGTGTTATTCCGAGGAGGACGCCACTCAAGTAGATTGTCTAGTGTCAGTGTTATTCCGAGGAGGACGCCATTCAGGTAGAATGTCTAGTGTCAGTGTTATTCCGAGGAAGACGCCACTCCATAGATTGTTAGATTGTCTAGTGTCAGTGTTATTCCGAAGAGGACGCCACTCAAGTAGATTGTCTAGTGTCAGTGTTATTCCGAGGAGGACGCCATTCAGGTAGAATGTCTAGTGTCAGTGTTATTCCGAGGAAGACGCCACTCCATAGATTGTTAGATTGTCTAGTGTCAATGTTATTCCGAGGAGGACGCCAGTCAGGTAGATTGTCTAATGTCAGTGTTATTCCGAGGAGGACGCCACTCAAGTAGATTGTCTAGTGTCTGTTATTCCGAGGAGGACGCCACTCAAGTAGATAGTCTAGTGTCTGTTATTCCGAGGAGGACGCCACTCAAGTAGATTGTCTAATGTCAGTGTTATTCCGAGGAAGACGCCACTCCATAGATTGTTAGATTGTCTAGTGTCAGTGTTATTCCGAAGAGGACGCCACTCAAGTAGATTGTCTAGTGTCAATGTTATTCCGAGGAGGACGCCACTCAAGTAGATAGTCTAGTGTCTGTTATTCCGAGGAGGACGCCAGTCAGGTAGATTGTCTAATGTCAGTGTTATTCCGAGGAGGACGCCACTCAAGTAGACTGTCTAGTGTCTGTGTTATTCCGAGGAAGACACCACTCAAGTAGACTGTCTAGTGTCTGTGTTATTCCGAGGAAGACACCACTCAAGTAGATTGTCTAGTGTCAATGTTATTCCGAGGAGGACGCCACTCAAGTAGATAGTCTAGTGTCTGTTATTCCGAGGAGGACGCCAGTCAGGTAGATTGTCTAATGTCAGTGTTATTCCGAGGAGGACGCCACTCAAGTAGATAGTCTAGTGTCTGTTATTCCGAGGAGGACGCCAGTCAGGTAGATTGTCTAATGTCAGTGTTATTCCGAGGAGGACGCCACTCAAGTAGACTGTCTAGTGTCTGTGTTATTCCGAGGAAGACGCCACTCAAGTAGACTGTCTAGTGTCTGTGTTATTCCGAGGAAGACACCACTCAAGTAGACTGTCTAGTGTCAGTGTTATTCCGAGGAGGACGCCACTCAAGTAGACTGTCTAGTGTCAGTGTTATTCCGAGGAGGACGCCACTCAAGTAGACTGTCTAGTGTCAGTGTTATTCCGAGGAGGACGCCACTCAAGTAGACTGTCTAGTGTCAGTGTTATTCCGAGGAGGACGCCACTCAAGTAGGTTTATGTCTTGTGATATACTCATGATAACATAGTATTTCTGCTAAATATAGTCAATTTTTTTTTATAATAATTCCCATCTGTGAACTAAAGTATGCATAGAAAGGGCAAATAAATATAAGGAGGGACGTAGATCTTAATACTCCAAAATATATTCCACATATTTGCTAGACTAGGCACTGAATGATGAATTATTATTATTAAAGATTCGCGGGTATTCTCCCGGCCCGGGCCTTTTCCAAGTGGTGGCCCAGCCTTGGCTCCCTCTTTAGGGAGTGTCTGAGACCTAAGTTTCCCATGGGAGGAGGCACAAGTACCTCCTCATCTTTGGGACCAACTGTCCCCAGGCCTAGCCACAAGCTAGGCCTCTCCGGTCTGCCATCCCCGCCCCAAGGGGGCAAATGGGAATGACAGTCTTATGAGCTAAAGGCTCGGGCTCAGGCACCTACCCTACCCTAGAAGGGTTAGGCATGGTGTCGATGGAATGATGAATCAAAGCAACTTTTTTTTTACAGAATTATTGTATGAAATTAACTTAATTAAATATTTTAATGTATATATTTATAGCTAAGATAGAAATTTATGTATACTATGCACTTTAACTTGGTAATATTTTGCACAGTTGCAGCTGGTTGTAGAAGTGTTGTTGTCAACTTGTTTATGTTGCCTGACTCTGTGTTTACTATGTCTCTCACCATATCCTGCAACACGATATACACAAAGACAAATACAACAAAACCTTGAAGTGTATTATGGCATTAGCGCTGAGTGTCGGCTGGTAGGCTAAACTACGATAGGCAGTGGTTATTCGTGTAGGAGAGCAAATCACAAAATTAGTTTAAAAAATTATGATAGTTCCTACCGTGAGCACCATGGTAATGTGCGTTTTCTTGCTGGCCGTCTCCAGAACTGCAACTCCTCTAATCTTTACACTCCACTAGTACTAATCTTGCTTTCCTGCGCATGCGTCGGTCTTCTCTTTCCATTACTATAACATTCACTCACTTTCTTAATTGATTTTTTAAATGTTTAAAACTAAGGAACGTCAGTTTTTGCAATTATTTCCGGCCAAAGATGTGAGAGACCAGCCTTACTAGATAAGATAAGATTTCGTTCGGATTTTTAACCCCGGAGGGTTAGCCACCTAGGATAACCCAAGAAAGTCAGTGCGTCATCGAGGACTGTCTAACTTATTTCCATTGGGGTCCTTAATCTTGTCCCCCAGGATGCGACCCACACCAGTCGACTAACACCCAGGTACCTATTTGCTGCTAGGTGAACAGGACAACAGGTGTAAGGAAACGTGTCGAAATGTTTCCACCCGCCGGGAATCGAACCCGGGCCCTCCGTGTGTGAAGCGGGAGCTTTAGCCACCAGGCCACCGGGCCACCGGGCCACTGTCCGCAAAGTGCTCTGCATTGTTTTAGTTTGCTAATTTTTCTATTAGACCAGCATAGGTAAAAGACACGTATGGCTTGATCAGTGCATAAGCATCTTTTTATTTACATCTTGTCCATATCATCACATCACTTCCATCCTAGACCAACATAGTAACTCTTACACCATCTGGGCCAGGAGCTGTGAATGGACCCCTGCAACCACAAATAGGTGAGTACAAGTCTTGAAGATATGAGACCAGCCTTGAGGCTCTCAGATTAGTCTTGAAGCTCTTAGCCTTTATCAGTGACTGGTGAAATCATTGTAAAACGATTGTAATAACTCACGGAACTGTCAGAATTCGAATCCTCGGCAAGTCAGGCCTTGTAAAATAGTAGGCCAGTGCTCTAACCACTGTACAATGCTGGTCTGCGAAGATTCATCCAACTAGGTATATTTCTATACTCTAGGAAGGTTAGCATGGGCATCACTGTGACCGTAAATCCCACCATCATGGCTGTGGGAAGATCTAGCTCAAGTCCCTTCAAAACCGTTCAGTAACAAACAAAATCCCTTCAAAACAGTTCACCAACAAAATTATTTTTTGTTCAGTTCAGAAACTAATTGCTCGTTTTAATCTAACTTTGATGCTCTGATCACTAATCTGAACTTGCTTGATCTCTGTCACGTGAGATATATATTACCTGACAATCATAGATATTATATAACACACACACACACACACACACACACACACCACACACACACACACACACACACACACACACACACACACACACACACACACACACACACACACACACAGTATTTCTTCAGTCATAGAGTTGTCAGCAAGTGGAATAGCCTAGCAAGTGAAGTAGTGGAGGCAGGAACCATACATAGTTTTAAGAAGATGTATGACAAAGCTCAGGAAGCAGAGAGAGAGAGGATCCAGTAGCGATCAGTGAAGAGGCGGGGCCAGGAGCTGAGTCTCGACCCCTGCAACCACAATTAGGTGAGTACACACACACACACACACACACACACACACACACAGTGATGTATAACCCACCACAGAACAGCAGGAGGCCAAGGCAAGAGTATGACGAGGGCAATAGAGCGATGGTTGACACACTGGCTGCAGTGGCCAGAAGAGCTCATGCATGCAGGGCAAAGCTCCTGATCATGGGTGACTTTAACCATAAGGAGATCGATTGGGAGAACTTGGAGCCACATGGGGGCCAAGATACATGAGGGCTAAGATGATGAAAGTGGTACTGGAAAACTTCATGTGCCCACACGTAAGGGACACTACAAGAGAGAGAGGAGAGGATGAACCAGCAAGACTGGACCTAGGATTCACCTTGAGTAGTGCAGATATTGAGGACATATGTGAAAGACCCCTTGGGGCCAGCGATCATGTGGTTTTAAACTTCGAATACACAGTAGAGCTACAAGTAGAGGGGGAAGCAGGAAGGCCAGGACGAATGAAGCCAAACTACAAGAAAGGGGACTACACGGGAATGAGGAACTTTCTGAACGGGGTTCAGTGGGACAGAGAACTGGCAGGGAAGCCAGTTAATGAGATGATGGAATATGTAGCAACAATGTGCAAGGAGGCTGAGGAGAGGTTTGTACCCAAGGGTAACAGGAATAATGAAAAAGCCAGGATGAGCTCATGGTTCACCCAAAGGTGCAGGAAGGCAAAAACCAAGTGTGCTAGGGAATGGAAAAAATATAGAAGGCAAAGGACCCAGGAGAATAAGGAGAGCAGTCGTAGAGCCAGAAATGAATATGCACAGATAAGAAGGGAGGCCCAACGACAATATGAAAACGACATAGCAGCGAAAGCCAAATCTGACCCGAAGCTGTTATACAGCTACATCAGGAGGAAAACAGCAGTCAAGGACCAGGTAATCAGGCTAAGGAAGGAAGGAGGAGAGACAACAAGAAATGACCGTGAAGTATTTGAGGAACCCAACAAGAGATTCAAAGAAGTGTTCACAGAGGAGACAGAAGAGGCTCCAGAAAGACTGAGAGGTGGGGCACACCACCAAGTGCTGGACACAGTACACACAACCGAGGAAGAAGTGAAGAGACTTCTGAGTGAGCTAGATACCTCAAATGCAATGGGGCCGGATAACATCTCTCCATGGGTCCTGAGAGAGGGAACAGAGGCGCTATGTGTGCCCCTAACAACAATATTCAATACATCTATCGAAACAGGGAGATTGCCTGAGGCATGGAAGACAGCAAATGTAGTCCCAATCTTTAAAAAAAGGAGACAGACATGAAGCACTAAACTACGGACCAGTGTCACTGACATGTATAGTATGCAAAGTCATGGAGAAGATTATCAGGAGAAGAGTGGTGGAACACCTAGAAAGGAATGATCTCATCAACAGCAGTCAACATGGTTTCAGGAACGGGAAATCCTGTGTAACAAACCTACTGGAGTTCTATGATATGGTGACAGCAGTAAGACAAAAGAGAGAGGGGTGGGTGGATTGCATTTTCTTGGACTGCAAGAAGGCGTTTGACACAGCTCCACACAAGAGATTAGTGCAAAAACTGGAAGACCAAGCAGGGATAACAGGGAATACTTGTCAGGAAGACAGCAGCGAGTCATGATATGTTGCGAGGTGTCAGAGTGGGCACCTGTGACTAGCGGGGTCTCACAGGGGTCAGTCCTAGGACCAGTGCTATTTCTAGTATTTGTGAACGACATGACGGAAGGAATAGACTCCGAAGTGTCCCTGTTTGCAGATGACGTGAAGTTGATGAGAAGAATTCATTCGATCGAAGACCAGGCAGAACTACAAAGGGATCTGGACAGGCTGCAGACCTGGTCCAGCAATTGGCTCCCGGAGTTCAACCCCACCAAGTGCAAAGTCATGAAGATTGGGGAAGGGCAAAGAAGACCGCAGACGGAGTACAATCTAGGGGGCCAGAGACTACAAACCTCGCTCAAAGAAAAAGATCTTGGGGTGAGTATAACACCAGGCACATCTCCTGAAGCGCACATCAACCAAATAACTTCTGCAGCATACGGACGCGTAGCAAACCTCAGAACAGCATTCCGACATCTTAATAAGGAATCGTTCAGGACCCTGTACACCGTGTACGTTAGGCCCATATTGAAGTATGCGGAACCAGTTTGGAACCCACACCTAGCCAAGCACGTAAAGAAACTAGAGAAAGTGCAAAGGTTTGCAACAAGACTAATCCCAGAGCTAAGAGGTATGTCCTACGAGGAGAGGTTAAGGGAAATCAACCTGACGACACTGGAGGACAAGAGAGATAGGGGGGACATGATAACGATATACAAAATACTGAGAGGAATTGACAAGGTGGACAAAGACAGGATGTTCCAGAGATGGGACACAGCAACAAGGGAACACAGTTGGAAGTTGAAGACACAGATGAATCACAGGGATGTTAGGAAGTATTTCTTCAGCCACAGAGTAGTCAGGAAGTGGAATAGTGTGGGAAGCGATGTAGTGGAAGCAGGATCCATACATAGCTTTAAGCAGAGGTATGACAAAGCTCACGGTTCAGGGAGAGTGACCTAGTAGCGACCAGTGAAGAGGAGGGGCCAGGAGCTCGGACTCGACCCCTGCAACCTCAACTAGGTGAGTACACGCGCACACACGCACACACGCACACACGCGCACACACGCGCACACACGCGCGCACACGCACGCACACGCACGCACGCACACGCACGCACACGCACACACATACACACACACACACACATACACACATACACACACACACACACACACACACACACACACACACACACACACACACACACACACACACACACACACACACACACACACACACACACACACACGAGTATGGAGCACCAGTTTGGAACCCACACCTGGCCAAGCACATCAGGAAATTAGAGAAGGTGCAAAGGTTTGCAGCGAGACTAATGACTAGTCCCGCAGCTTAGGGTCATGTCCTACGACGAGAAGTTAAGGGGAATCGACCTGACGACACTGGAGGACAGGAGGGATAGGGAGGACATGATAGCAATGTAAAATACTAAGAAGAATCGACAAGGTGGACAGAGAGAAAGTTCCAGAGATGGGATAGAGCAACAAGGAAGGGGCCACAATTGGAAGTTGAAGACTCAAGATGAGTCACAGGGATATTAGGAAGTATTTCTTCCGTCAAAGAGTTGTCAAGAAGCGGAATAGTCTGGAAAGTGAGGTAGTGGATACAGGATCGATACATAGCTTTAAGAAAAGCTACGATAAAGCTCACGGATCAGGGAGAGACCTAGTGGCAACCAGTGAACAGCCGGGGCCAGGAGCTATGTATCGACCCCTGCAACTATAATTAGGTGAGTACACACACACTATATATATATATATATATATAGTATCTTTCACTTTTTCACATTTCAAGAAAAAAAAATAAAGTAGGTAGTAGGTTGGTAGACAGCAACCACCCAGGGAAGTACTACCGTCCTGCCAGATGACTGTGAAACAAAAACCTGTAACTGTTTTGCATGATGG